CTAGTGTGTAAGTATCTGGTTATCCCGTGATCTGACGACGAGTCTGGGCTGCTCGCAGCTCGCAGTATGCTGATATAGATGGCAACTCTAGGCCGTAAGTATCCATCCCGTGATGCTGCTCGCAGCTCGCAGTATGCTGATATAGATGGCAACTCTAGCAAGTAAGTATCCATCCCGTGATTTGACGAGGAGTCTTCGACTGCTCGCGGTATGCTGATATAGATGGCAACTCTAGTGGGTAAGTATCTAGTTATCCCGTGATCTGACGACGAGTCTGGGCTGCTCGCTGCTCGCAGTATGCTGATATAGATGGCAACTCTAGTGTGTAAGTATCTAGTTATCCCGTGATCTGACGTCGAGTCTGGGCTGCTCGCAGCTCGCAGTATGCTGATATAGATGGCAACTCTAGGCCGTAAGTATCCATCCCGTGATGCTGCTCGCAGCTCGCAGTATGCTGATATAGATGGCAACTCTAGGGCGTAAGTATCCATCCATCCCGTGATCTGACGTCGAGTCTGGGCTGCTCGCTGCTCGCGGTATGCTGATATAGATGGCAACTCTAGGGCGTAAGTATCTATCCATCCCGTGATTTGACGTCGAGTCCTGGCTGCTCGCTGCTCGCTGCTCGCAGTATGCTGATATATATGGCAACTCTAGGGCGTAAGTATCTGGTTATCCCGTGATCTGACGTCGAGCTCGCAGTATGCTGATATAGATGGCAACTCTAGGACGTAAGTATCTATCCATCCCGTGATCTGACGTCGAGTCTTGGCTGCTCGCTGCTCGCAGTATGCTGATATATATGGCAACTCTAGAGCGTAAGTATCTAGTTATCCCGTGATCTGACGTCGAGCTCGCAGTATGCTGATATAGATGGCAACTCTAGCTCGTAAGTATCTATCCATCCCGTGATCTGACGTCGAGTCTGGGCTGCTCGCTGCTCGCTGTATGCTGATATAGATGGCAACTCTAGTGCGTAAGTATCTATCCATCCCGTAATTTTACGAGTCTTGACTGCTCGCAGTATGCTGATATCGATGGCAACTCTAGGTCGTAAGTATCTATCCATCCCGTGATCTGACGTCCAGCTCGCAGTATGCTGATATAGATGGCAACTCTAGGGCGTAAGTATCCATCCATCCCGTGATTTGACGTCGAGTCTGGGCCTGCTCGCTGCTCGCAGTATGCTGATATAGATGGCAACTCTAGCTCGTAAGTATCCATCCATCCCGTGATTTGACGTCGAGTCTTGGCCTGCTCGCTGCTCGCTGCTCGCTGCTCGCAGTATGCTGATATAGATGGCAACTCTAGGGCGTAAGTATCTATCCATCCCGTGATCTGACGTCGAGTCTTGGCTGCTCGCTGCTCGCTGCTCGCAGTATGCTGATATAGATGGCAACTCTAGGTCGTAAGTATCTAGTTATCCCGTGATCTGACATCGAGTCTTGGCTGCTCCCTGCTCGCTGCTCGCAGTATGCTGATATAGATGGCAACTCTAGTGTGTAAGTATCTAGTTATCCCGTGATTTTACGAGTCTTGACTGCTCGCAGTATGCTGATATAGATGGCAACTCTAGTGCGTAAGTATCTATCCATCCCGTGATTTGACGTCGAGTCTTGGCCTGCTCGCTGCTCGCAGCTCGCAGTATGCTGATATAGATGGCAACTCTAGCTCGTAAGTATCTATCCATCCCGTAATTTTACGAGTCTTGACTGCTCGCAGTATGCTGATATCGATGGCAACTCTAGCTCGTAAGTATCTATCCATCCCGTGATCTGACGTCGAGTCTTGGCCTGCTCGCTGCTCGCAGTATGCTGATATAGATGGCAACTCTAGAACGTAAGTATCTATCCATCCCTTGATTTGACGTCGAGTCTTGGCCTGCTCGCTGCTGCTCGCAGTATGCTGATATAGATGGCAACTCTAGGACGTAAGTATCTATCCATCCCGTGATTTGACGTCGAGTCTTGGCCTGCTCGCTGCTCGCTGCTCGCAGTATGCTGATATAGATGGCAACTCTAGCACGTAAGTATCTATCCATCCCGTGATTTGACGTCGAGTCTGGGCCTGCTCGCTGCTCGCAGTATGCTGATATAGATGGCAACTCTAGCTCGTAAGTATCCATCCATCCCGTGATTTGACGTCGAGTCTTGGACTCTTGGCTGCTCGCTGCTCGCAGTATGCTGATATAGATGGCAACTCTAGCCCGTAAGTATCCATCCCGTGATTTGACGTCGAGTCTTGGCTGCTCGCAGTATGCTGATATAGATGGCAACTCTAGGGCGTAAGTATCTATCCATCCCGTGATTTGACGTCGAGTCCTGGCTGCTCGCTGCTCGCTGCTCGCAGTATGCTGATATATATGGCAACTCTAGGGCGTAAGTATCTGGTTATCCCGTGATCTGACGTCGAGCTCGCAGTATGCTGATATAGATGGCAACTCTAGCCCGTAAGTATCCATCCATCCCGTGATCTGACGTCGAGTCTTGGCTGCTCGCTGCTCGCTGTATGCTGATATAGATGGCAACTCTAGCAAGTAAGTATCCATCCATCCCGTGATTTGACGTCGAGTCTTGGCCTGCTCGCTGCTCGCTGTTCGCAGTATGCTGATATAGATGGCAACTCTAGTGTGTAAGTATCCATCCATCCCGTGATCTGACGTCGAGTCTTGGCTGCTCGCTGCTCGCTGCTCGCAGTATGCTGATATAGATGGCAACTCTAGTGTGTAAGTATCCATCCCGTGATTTGACGTCGAGTCTTGGCCTGCTCGCTGCTCGCTGCTCGCTGCTCGCAGTATGCTGATATAGATGGCAACTCTAGCAAGTAAGTATCTATCCATCCCGTGATCTGACGTCGAGTCTTGGCTGCTCGCTGCTCGCTGCTCGCTGTATGCTGATATAGATGGCAACTCTAGGGCGTAAGTATCCATCCATCCCGTGATTTGACGTCGAGTCTTGGACTCTTGGCTGCTCGCTGCTCGCAGTATGCTGATATAGATGGCAACTCTAGCTCGTAAGTATCTATCCATCCCGTGATCTGACGTCGAGTCTTGGCTGCTCGCTGCTCGCTGCTCGCAGTATGCTGATATAGATGGCAACTCTAGCCCGTAAGTATCCATCCCGTGATTTGACGTCGAGTCTTGGCTGCTCGCAGTATGCTGATATAGATGGCAACTCTAGCCCGTAAGTATCCATCCATCCCGTGATCTGACGTCGAGTCTTGGCTGCTCGCTGCTCGCTGTATGCTGATATAGATGGCAACTCTAGTGTGTAAGTATCCATCCCGTGATTTGACGCGGAGAATGTTTGATGGGCTGGCAGCATGTTGACACGACTGGCGACTGTAGTAACTCCAATTTCCTGTGGCGGGTTCATTGGGTGAGTTTGAAACGTTCTTAAAGGTTAGGGTGGGGAAGCTTCGGTCGTTGTATGGAGTTCTCCTCAGGAGTTTAAGCTCGGCCGACCGTTAGCGGGTTACTGTCTAGTCTGTCTTTGACGTGTCACAAAATAATGGATCAAACGGTTGATCAAGCTCGCGCCGCTCTATGAAGCTGTTTGAGCAGTTGCTACTATTGTCCTCTGAATCGTCGACCGTTGAGGACTGATATGTGAGAGTGCTGGAGCAGTTGCCATCAGTGCTCCTAATAGTGTGGCCAGTGCGTTTGGACCCCTCAAACTGCTCATTCAGTGCGTGTGACTTGGCCGCACTACACTACCAGTGTGCCTGAGATGTTCAAACTGAACTATTAGTCTGTTCGTCGCGGCCAAACTGAACTACAGTGCAAACTGTGGTCTACACTATTAGTGTGAACATATAGTCTGACATTTGGCATTGCACCCGTCGCACCTGCAAGGTTGCCTTCAAGTTTTCCAGCGCCCTCACCGAATTGCCTGCCTTACGTGCAGCTTTCCTCGCCCCTTTCCTGAATCAGAGACTCAGACCCGGTACCGGTGGCTTCCGGATCGATATAGCGACACTGGAATCCATAATTAGACACTCTTCATCTGACGAAACAGAAATCTTACCTCGGATGGGAGTATCAGAGCGCTCCGGTCCCAGGATCGTGGGCATTCCAAGAGATTTAAAGTTTCAATGTTCATAGATCCTCGCTGGTCGGTTACCGAAAGTTTGGCTTTGGAGAAGAGCCGCTCTGTCTCAGTAGACATAGGCGCAATCGATAGAAGGTCAATGGCCATCAAAGATAAGTTAGGAACCGTCGCCGCTGCGCTGACTCTAACCACCATTTCAACGGATCCGATACCATCACCACAGGCTCGCGGCAATACACTTCGTACTCGTCGTCATCCATGTTGAAAATCGTAGCCTTTGCTCTTTCATCCACATTTTGTACCCATTTGGTCGTCTTGCACTTGGCTCTTGTGCGGAAGCTGGTCGAAGAACAGGGCAGGAGTGGTAGATTTGTATGCCTCCTCCAGAGCTCCCCTACCCGAGCTTTAGCTCTCTCAATCCATTCATTCTTGTCGTCCCAAGTCTTCTCCATATAGGCCCACTTGAGGAAGGATTTAATACCGTCGCTGCTGAATAGACTGGCGAATCTTCCGTCAATTCGTAGTAGTCGGCTAATTTGGCCCATGTCGTCTCCATCATTGTAGCCAAGTGGGGGATGGTAGTGGCCTCCTTGGCCGCTTCAATGTGATGCAAGAGATAGTCCATGGTTGGCAGAACGTCAGAGATGGAATTGCCGGTGCCTTCGTTGGCCATTGTAGCGTCGTGAAAAGGTTCGAGAAATTTGTGAATTTCAGCCAAAGTAACCCAGTCAGAGGAAGTCAGAGCATCGTCTTGCAGGGCAGGCTCTTGAGCACAAAATATGGTGATGCCTTGACGGACTTTTGTTCTAAGGGCCCACTCAACCATGCTATGCCACGAATTCCAACGAGTGTCATTGTCGCGCCGTAGCCGTAGACCGTCAGTGAGACCAGTGAATGTCTGAAGTCGCTGGGGAGTCCAGGTGATGTAGACCACGATATTATGCAATTTGCCTATCGCCCCTCGCTTTCTCCATTGCTTAACTTCGTCGTCGGACGGTCCGTGGTAGGAATCTGCTGTGGGTGGTCGCTTTCCATGAGGAACTCCATCACGGCCAGGTTAATGATGTGGCCGAAACAGCGAAGTCGGTGAGGAAGAGGATCGTAGAAAACTTCGAACTCGTGCTCCAAGTCGTCGGAGACTTTGTCGATCATGGTATTCATGTTGGTGGCATTATCCATCATAAAGTATCCAACTTTTGTCGCTATTCCATATTCTCGTATGAACTCCATGATGGCTTCTGCCATGTTCTCGCCGCTGTGCTGTCCTTCCAATTCTTTTATCCTCACCACCAGGGACTGCAGACCATGATCTTCGGTAACGAATTGAACTGTAAACCCTATTACGCCCAAACAATTCGGCGATGTCCAATTGTCTGGAACAATGTGGATTGACGAGAGAGCATTCTGCAGAGCTCGCTTTACAAACTCCTTCTTGTTGTCGTAGCCCCATTGTAAGTCATTTTTAACCGTGTCGCCGGACCTCGGGAGGAGATCATCGGCGGCCGGACGGATATACCGGATAAAGTCGCGAAAGGCCGGCTGCTCAACATGAGCAAATGAGAGGCTGCAAGCTACTGTATAACGGCAGTACAGTTCGCGGAGAGTCGCTTGATCTAGGGCATCTTCCTCTGCGGTCGCCTTGCGTTTCTTGGTGGAGAACAAAGTTCCATTGGCCAGGAATGCGGTGATGTCTCCGAGGCGACTTTGCGTCACTTCCCGCCTGATCTCCTGCCGCCCAGAAATAATGATATTGTGCTCCTTTCGCAAATGATTGACGATGGCGGACGACCCACCACAGTAATTGTATTTCTTCGCTCTTTTCTTGTCGAAGCAGGGCTGGCAATGCCACCATTTCGTTCCATTGGAATCAACCCAAGCTGCCGGAATACTCCTACCTTCTTCTCTTCGACAATACTGCCAAATAGGAGACGTCTTTCGGCGGTAGACGCTAAGGACAGGCGAAGAGGATGGTGCCGGTGACGGGGAAGCCGCTGTCCCACTAATAAGGTCAGAATCATCTATATAGGTGCCAGCCTCGGAGTGATCCACGATGGAGGACATGATCCTCTAGGGACTGCACTAGACAATAAGAGTGGCGATCATGGGAATCTGGCGGAGAGCAGGATTGGTGGGATAAACCGGATTGTTTGTGGCAGCTCCGGTCAGATCATTCTGTGGTGGACAACTTCCTCTTTTTGACCACCCTAGGAAGTCCTAGTGATTTGGTTTGGACCACAGAATCCAATTAATTTGAGTTTGCCGGCCAATGATCGGTCATATCCCTTTAGCGTCGGCGCACAACGAAACTTAACATCGTCGCGAATTGTTCCGTACGTGCTCGCTTCGCGCTCGTCTCGCGCTCATCTCGTGCCAGCCAAGCGACACGCCCCAGTGTTCCTAACGTCGGCATCCAATTTGCGTACGCAACGGCGGTGGAGATCCTCAGTTGAGCCTCGACGAGAAGAGCATCAGAAGCTTGCGGTGCATCGACCTATGAAGCTAATGATTGGTGTAGCTGGGGCCGTAGAAGTGTGGCCGAGGCTCAATCTGCGCTTTGGACTGTAACCCGACTGACAAACTTGAACAAATTGGCAGGGCAACATCCGGTATAATGGGTTTTCTCGACCAGAAACGATAACTTAGCAACATGTTTTGATAGCATAATAAAGTCAATAACAGGCGGAAGCTCTTAGCAAAGCTTGTGTTTAGACGCTTACCAGTATGCTTAATTACAACGGAAAGAAGCGAATGTATTGGCATCTCAACTGCTTCGCATAAATATTGACGAGCCAGCCTGCCTCCTACCCTAGAGATGACAGATAGGTTAGAGGCTACCTGGCACCCCGCCTTTATACGGTGACATAACGGGTATATCATAACTCCCCGACCGGGGTTCCGCCACTTGGATCATTCAGCCCGAAGGGCGTTTATTCAGTCAGAAAGAGAGGCATAAAACCTCTTCTCATTGGCTAATTGGCCTCCCCTGTACTCAACTCGTGCGGGGAGTGGTCGGTTGGCAACGCCACCAAATGAAGGCCATGCCGCAAACCCTGAGCGTTGACTAGGTAACGAGCTAGCCGTTTCCGAGAGCTTTTCTTCAATGCAAGTTTCAAGCACACGCTTCCACTTCCATCGTGGGTCGAATCTATCGAACCCATCGGTTACTAACGGATTCTAGGTCAAATTTAGCTCCGCGGCCGACCTAGCTACAACATTCCCTGGCACCACCTGCGGGTGTGTATTGCTGCAGCCCCCAGGGTACTGTATACGATATCGCCTGGAACCCAGGCGCCGAACCATTGGAAGATCCCCCGGCCGTTATTATGGTGGACTTTGATAGCTACGATGGACCGCCATATCTAATAACTAACGAGGGCAGGAAAATCTCACCCATCCTCCCAGTCAGGCGTGATTTCCTTATGGGCAACGAGACCTGCGCTCGCACGCAGTTTCCTGATGGTGGCGTTTGCTATCACTGTTCACAAATGCCAGAGCCTAACGAAGGAGCAAATAGTTACTGATCTCGCTACACGCGACTTCCAGGCCGGTATTAGCTATGTTGCTGTGTCACGGGTTACGTCGCTGCAAGGCTTACTCCTTGAGGCGCCTTTCGATCGTCAGAGCCTCTATAACCACACGCCGACAGAAGGTTTATAAGCCTGTCTCCCTACGTGCTGCGTTTACGGCTAACTACAAAGGCTAAAGCAGGGATGAAGATGCGCCTCGCTGACCAACAACGGCGTCAGGGTCAACAGCTGAGCGATGCACCGTATCCACCACTCTACCTTGACTAAACGACGTCTTCCTATAAGCTACAGGGAAGGGGGAGGTTCGATATAGGGTATATAGTTAGATTGGGCCAGTCAAGGAGCGGTTTAAACAGCTGGATGGCCGCCGCAGGCGAAAGGGGGGTTCTAGGGGGTCCCCCCCTAGGAAAGTTGAATTGCAGGAATACGATGTTCACCCTTCGGGCTGGATATTCAGCCGTTAAGCCCCTTGCCTTGGCAACTTAACGGGTGTTCGAAGTATTTTACGCACTTCGTCTTACAGGTTATACATGTTTTTCGTTGGAAATCAATCCGAAACCCTATTTCAAGGTAGTAAAATCCGGGTTGCTGGTAATCATGGGGCGCACTAATAGTGCAACTATTAGTCTGGACCCTTGCACTGAACTACCCGTTCAGTTTGGGCAAGCTACACTGAACCACCAGTGTGGTGTGAGAAACGCACACTACACTAATAGTGCGGCACTAATAGTGTAAACCACAGTGTGCACTAATAGTCCTCTTAATGGTCCACACTATTAGGAGCGCTGGTTGCCATGGTCGTCCTCGGAATCTTCGACGGTTGTGGAGGCTGGTAGGACAAAACTCGTTGGACTGGTTTGCCAGGGGTTGGTAGGTCGAACGAGACTCGCCAGGCTGGCTCGACCCTTCCATTGGCGAGAAAGATGGACTTTCTCCCAACTCAGTATACGGGATCGTCAGAATACATCGGAATCAGATCTCGGCTATACAGAGCCATTGCCAACACTATCTTGTCCGGCTCCTTCGCTTACTTCGGACTCCGCATCGGAGGACACGTAGATCGGCTCGTCCAAGGCTTGTACTCGTGGAGCCGGTAAGTCGAGTCGCGCCTCGTCGGTTGGTCCCATTGACAGATGTTGAGCGGACTCAGGAAGGAACTGTCGAGACTGTCTATGGACCTTCCAGTCACTCTTTGGTGATCGGTACTACAGTATCCCACAGCCAGGCATCTCGCGCATTTCTTGACCCCCGCCGTCTTCCCACATACCTTACATACAAGAACCTCTCTGCACTGGGACCGAGTCCCCTCGTTCGCTTCTGGCTTGATATTGCCCATGATATTCCCCAGTTCCTGTCGTAGCTCCACCCCTCTCACACACCGCACAAAGCTTGCCGATAAGCGGGTGCAAGCCGTCATGGGCTGCTCCAGTCGCAAGACAGCCAGATATGGTCGTTTACGCCGCCATCACTGACGACTCTGCGCCATGTCCTCCCCTGGAATCTGACAAGGCATCAGCGCATCAAACGAACTTCGTGCTGTTCACTCGTACTACGTAGAAGTAAAGTCTCCGAAACATGTGCCGAGATCTTTCCTTGTTGCTAAGAGCATGCACGGGTCGGAAAGGGGTAGTTAAATAACCACCTCCTCCCACTAATCTGCCACCCCAAAGTGGGTCAATGTGGCGCATCGCCGCACACAACGTCCGGCCGGCCCCAGTGCACACGAGACCCAAGGCACAATGCCCAAGGCACACAACGCAAGTGAAGCCGGCCGCGATGCATAGAACACATAGAAATGCCACTTTTCTAGGAGTCATTAGACCCGCATCGTCAATTCAAGAGCACTATAACTACAAGGGCTATAAAGGGCATTCCTTCGCCATCTCCCTTAGCGCAAGGGCGTTAGCCTCATCAAGCCGCTCCATCGTATCAAAGTCACAGAACACATAGGTCGGCGCACGAGCCGAAGGCTTCGCATTCCGGCGCCTAAGGCCAAAGCCGATCTGCCAGCCTACGGTCTTGCAGGCACGAGTAGCCTCGGCCTCGGACTCGTAGGTGGTAGAGAACACAGTGCTCATGGACTCCATAGCGGCAAGTGGTACGGTGACGTGGGTGGCACGGTCGTGACGGGGCGGCGCGGCGGTGATAACGGCGTTGCAACCGATTAAGGCGTTGTTAAGATATCGCGAAAGCTTCACTTACGGCTGACTGTGTGATGTTGCGCGGCGTGCCTTGTGTGCCAAGGAGGTTTTGGCGTTACGCCACCTTTACCTCAAAGGTGCGCCACATTGACCCACTTTGGGGTGGCAGATTAGTGAGAGGAGGTGGTTATTTAACTACCCCCGAAAAGGGCAATGGCGATTTTGACGCGCTCCGGCTCATCACATATCGGGGTTTTCCACAGGACGAAAGGATGGAGGCACCAAAAAGCTGGATAGAGAGATATAGGGTGCTTTTATGCACAGCCCAGTGAGATTAAGGACAGATCTAATGTGCTTTGATGTGATTTGTTGAAGGATATGAGAAAATGCGATTTTGCCAGCATCGCGAAAACACATATAAATGTCGCGAAGCAGATTTAATGTTCAATTGAACATGTCACCTGAACAACAGGTGGCTTGATTTTCGTGACAATAAATTATCGAATAGTCAGTGTGCGCATGTGACAGGGTCCTCAGGCCTTTTACTGGAGGAGTAGTCCAAGTAACGTGACTTTGACCTAAAACGGTTAGACTCCGCTTGAAATGGCCTGAGCACTGCTGAGGTAACGCAGAGCCTCACCAGTGTCACGTGCACAAGCAGCATGACGTGCCCACGTGCGACCTCGTGCTTACCTCAGCAGTGCTCAGGCCAGGGAGCAAATAACGTAATCCACCCCCTTCCCGGTCACACCCCCTACCCGCTCAAAATTCCCCACCAACGCGACCCGCACTCCATGGCGCCGAGCACGATGACGGAAATTAGAGACCAATCGATTCCACGCGTCCTGCTCGCCGTCAAGGCCTATCAGCAAGGCCAATTCGACAGTACCCACAAGGCCACGACGGCATATGATGTCCCTCAGTCGACAGTATCTGGTCGACTGCGTGGTGCCCGCTCCCGACGCGACGCGCAGATGAACAACCGGAAGTTGACGACGACGGAAGAGACTGCCCTCGTACAATGGGTCCTGCCGATGGACGAGCGAGGGATGCCGCTGACAGTGGTCTACACTCGCCGCATGGCCGGCCAACTTGTTGCTCTCTGAGCGCGGCCAAGAAACTGTCGGCGAGAATTGGGTGCGGAAGTTCGTTGGCCACCACGACGAAATCAAGGCGAAATACTCGTCGATATGATTACCAACGTGCCAGATGCGAAGATCCGAAGACGATCCAAGAATGGTACGATCGAGTGGCAATGGCGAAGCAGAAATGGGGGATTCTTGACGAGGATGTCTACAACTTCGATGAGACGGGGTTTCAAATGGGAGTCATTGCGACGGCAAGAGTCCTTACTCGGTCTGACCGGCGAGGTCGGCCTATGGTCATGCAGCCAGGAAATCGAGAATGGGTTACGGTGATTGAGTCTATCAATTGCCAAGGTTGGGCTTTGCCGGCGATGGTCATCTTCCAGGGCAAGGTGCACAAAGCAAGCTGGTACAAAGCAGGTGTGCCCAAGGACTGGCAGATTGCCGTGAGCAACAAAGGTTGGACTTCCGACGACCTTGGATTGCATTGGTTAAAGGCAGTTTTCGACCCATACACACGGCGCCGTACGGTTGGAACACGTCGACTTCTCATTCTCGACGGGCACGGCAGCCATGTTACGCCGGAATTTGACAAGTACTGTACGGATAATGCCATTGTGGTACTCCAAATGCCAGCTCATTCCTCACATCTCTTACAGCCTCTGGATGTCGGGCGCTTTCGCCCTTAAAACGATATATGGGCGGAAGGTTCAAGAGAAGATGCTCGCAGGGTCAACCACATCGAGAAAGAGGACTTCCTGCCTCTATACGTCGAGGCCCGCCGACAAGCACTCTCCCGTCGAACATCCGAAGTGGATTCATGGCCACAGGCCTTTCCCATTCAATCTGACCCGGGTTCTGTCACGGTTACGCGTTCAGGTTGACAGGAATGGCAACCATGATGCACGGCAACAACTTGTCGAGGAGGAGCAGGCCCGACGGCAGAGAGAAGAAGAGCTATGCGTCCTAAGACAGCGTGCACCACCACGGTATAGTAAATGCAGGTATTTTGAACACAATGCCCGGACGTGTAATAGATAGACAGTTCTGAATTGACTTGCTTGTTTGTCTCTTGGAATCAATTGCCGTCTGTTGTGTTCGGTTGGTCGTGACGTGAGGTGCGGGTCGCGTCGGTGGGAAATTTTTGAGCGGGTAGGGGGTGTGACCGGGAAGGGGCTGGATTACGTTAAGTTAACTAAGTTAACTAACTACACGGGTCCGTACAAGCCACGGGTCCCTGCTGAGTCAGTACCGTCCACGGTAAATTTTCCTGCCTCTCGCTACAGGCTAATCGTGCCCGCCCCCACTTTATTGGGATTCGCTTTGTGCTACCCTTTTAATGGGCAACATTGCCTCCATGGCGTAGTGGTGACACGTCTGGAGTCTCTGCTCTGCAGAGAGGTCGGTTCGAAACCGGCTGGAGGCACCCCTGGGTGAACAGGGTACACCCGGGTTCCCGCTCGTCATCAGGGCCAACGTCATGAGAGAACACCAGTTCACAACGTCAAGTTCAAAGGAAGAACCGAAAACAAAAAAAAAAGTTAATTGCAACAGAAGAATACGTCAAGTACAATCGGCGTACCAACCACCATCAATTACTAACACAACCAGCTTCAACTTCGACAAATCACGCTTCAGTTGCTGAGAATAGGATGCTGAACACTTGGAGAAATTGACCTTCAAGCAGGTCTGTCATGAAGCGAACAGTGGAACGGTTGGCGCAGCGTAAGATGATCTGTGGGGCTTGAGGTGTCATGCATCAGTGTATCGAACCGTCAATAGCCAGAGCGTCTAGGCCCTATAGGAAGTATCCTCCGGGCGAAATAAATCCATACCAATGGGCAACATTGTGGTTTTGGCGGGGGACTTCAACCGCCACGACCTCCTCTGGGGCGGAGATGAAGTGTCAGCGAGCAGACAAGGGGAGGGCCAGCCCATCATTGACCTGATGGACGACTTTGGTCTTAGCAGCCTTCTCCCGAGAGGAACGAAAACGTGGCAAAGGTCGGACGAGGAGAGCACCATCGACTTGGTGCTGGCATCGGCGGAACTGGCGGACGAGTTGACATCCTGCGTGATTCATCCAACAGAGCACGGATCAGACCATAGAGCGATCCAGACGACCTTCGACATTCGAGTGCCGGAGCGTACCTTTCCGCAGCGCCTGATGCTCAAGAACGCGCCGTGGATCGCCATCGCAACCAGGGTCGAGGACGAGCTTCGGCCTCTTCCGTGGACTGTGGGGGGTGCAGACGCAGGCGGATCAGCTCATGCGGGTGGTCACCAAGGCGCTTCGAGATCTGACTCCTCGAGCCCAGCCGCCGTCATACGCGAAGCGATGGTGGACAAAGGACCTGACGCGACTCCGTCGGACGTACACGTATTGGCGCAATCAAGCAAGGGCGCAGCGAAGAGCCGGTCAATCGCGTCCGGATCTGGAGCAGCGCGCCAAGGAGGCTGCGAAGGAGTACCACGACAATTTGCGGAGACAAAAGAAGGCCCATTGGGATGACTTCGTCATCGAAGGGAGCAACATCTGGAGGGCTGCCAAGTATCTGAAGCCTGGTACGGAGATGACGGATGACAAGGTGCCCCGCTGAAGAGAGCCGACGGTTCGATCACCGAAAGCAAGGGCGAGCAAGCCGAGGAACTCCTGAGCACCTTCTTTCCGCCTCTGCCAACGAGGATCGAGCCGGAGGGTGAACGTCCGCAGAGAGAAGAAATAGCCATGCCAGACCTCACCTTGCAAGAGATTGAGGAGAAGGTGATGGCGGCGAAGCCCTGGAAAGCGCCTGGTGAGGATGGCCTTCCTGCGATCGTGTGGAAGAAGCTCTGGCACGTGGTCAAGCACCGGGTGTGGACGCTCTTCAGCTCATCGCTCCGAGAGGGCGTCGTGCCTCATCAATGGCGAACGGCCAAGATCATCCCTCTGAGGAAACCAGATAAAGGAGACTACACCCTGGCCAAGGCGTGGCGACCGATTTCTCTCCTGTCGACGCTTGGCAAGATTCTGGAGGCAGTCGTCGCGGAACGTATCAGCTATGCAGTCGAGGCTCAAGGGCTTTTGCCCGCGAACCACTTTGGTGCACGGAAGCGCAGGTCCGCAGATCAAGCACTCGTGCTTCTGCAGGAGCGAATCTACAAGGCCTGGAGAACGGGCAGAGTGCTCAGCCTCATCAGCTTTGACGTCAAAGGCGCATACAACGGAGTGCAAAGAGCGAATGCTCGAAAGGATGAAAGCCCGAGGCATCCCGAGTCGACTGGTCAATTGGATAGACGCATTCTGCTCGGGACGGACCGCGTCGGTGGTTGTCAACGGGCACACATCCGAGCAACAAACCCTGCCGCAGGCCGGCCTACCCAGGATCTCCTCTGTCGCCAGTGGCTTTTCTTTTCTTCAACGCAGACCTGGTGCAAAGACGGATCAGTAATAACGGTGGCTCCATCGCCTTCGTGGACGATTACTCTGCCTGGGTCACGGGGCCAACGGCAGAGTCAAACAGAGATGGTATCCAGTCGATTATCGATGATGCGCTTGATTGGGAGAAGCGCAGCGGCGCCACATTTGAAGCAGAGAGACATCCTTCATCCACTTCACACGCATCGCGGAGCGTGACAGCGACCTGCCTCTCATCATCAAAGGAAACGATGTCAAGCCGAAGAGCAACGTGAAGCTGTTGGGAGTCATCATGGACAAAGCGCTTCGCTTCAAGGAACACATCGCCAGAGCGGCCGCCAAGGGGCTGGCCGCGGCCATGTGTTTGAAACGACTGAAGATGGCTTCGCCACGGATGGCGAGGCAACTGTTCGTCGCGACCGTGGCGCCAGCCATGGACTATGCCTCAAACGTGGTCGCACGCGTGCGGGGTGAAAGAAGCGGTGTGGATTGGCAGGGCCCAGCGAATCGGAGCCCAGGCTGTCACGGGAGGCTTCCGCACGGTGGCAACGGCAGTGGCCGAGGCCGAGGCCGGCGTGCAATCGTTCCGAGAACGGCATGCTCAAGCGGCAGCGAAATTCTGGATAAGGATGCGGACGCTCCCGAAGACGCATCCTCTGACATCGTTGAGGCTCAAACTGAACAGGAGGTATGCGTCGCCAATGCAGAAGCTCGCCTCGGCGATGGGAAGAATAGATACCAAGCGCCTGGAAGTCATCCACGAGTTCGCACTGGCGCCGTGGGACGAACGAGTGCAGGCAACGGATGAGACAGACCGAGTGGAGGTGCTGAAGTCGGATGACCCGGAGGACATCACTATTGCGACGTCCAGCTCGCAAAGGAAAGGCAAGGTCGGGTTGGGAGGCGTCGTTCGGGATGCTTCCGCGACAGCGTAGACGAAGTGCTGGCCAGCTACTCCGTCACTCGGCTCCAGTGATGAGAGAATGCCTACACAGCAGGACTCGAGGCAATCGCCACGGCTCTGAGGTGTGTACCTCTCGGTCTTCATGACCGAGATCTCACGGTTGTGACGAGCAACCGCTCTGTCCTGCAAGTCATCGGGCGGCCACGGCAACAGTCTGGTCAGTGCACGATACGGGCGATATACGGATCTGTTGAGTATCTGGCGAAAAGAGGCTGCAGAGTCAGACTTCGTTGGGTGCCTGCAAAGAATGAGGAGTTCACCCTGGGCCACTGGCCAAAATGCAAGCGAAAAGAGCGACGCGAGACGAGTGCATCGCCGAACCAGCAACGTTTCAAGCAAGATCAACGACGTTACGACTGCTGCTCAACGAAAACGCTCGCGTTCGTCAGATCCCGGAAGGGGTTGGAAAGCACTCAAAGCGCATCGATAAGGCATTGCCGGGCAAGCACACCCGCAAGTTGTACGACGAGCTAACAAGAAAGGAATCCGAAGTGTTGATACAACTTCGAACTGGCAAATCGCGGCTGAATAGCTACCTCTGCAAAATCGGGGCGGTGGAATCGGATGAGTGCACTTGTGGGCAGTCTGCAGAAACAGTGGAGCATTTCCTCTTTCGATGCAGAAGATGGACGGTACAACGAGAGACCATGCTGCGATATGCGCGCGGAAAGGTGGGAGACTTGTCTTTCTTCCTAGGAGGCAAGGCAGAGTCAGACGACGACAAGTGGCAACCTGATATTGGGGCTGTGCGTGCGACGATACAGTTCGCATTGGCGACAAAACGCTTCAGTATGGACCGTTAACGGGCCATGTACTGATCAAGAACAACCATACTAACACAACAGCCTTCAACTTGGCAGACCGCGCTTCAGTCGCTGAAGGTAGGACGCTGAACACTTGGAGAAACTGACCTTCAAGCAGGCCTGTCATGTCACAGCGAACGAGGCTGAAACAGATGGAAAGAAGCGTTGGGCTTTAGGTGAGGAGAAACCATGTATAGTAGGTACGTAGCTTAGCGTAGTGGCTCTATGGGGGAACCCTCCGGGCGCAATACAAAATAATAATAATAATAATAATGGGCAACATTTGCACCTCTCCTATGACCTTCTGTGTGGCACTTGTTGCATGTCGGTAGTCTTGCTCTAAGGGGCTCGTCCTGCTGCTTGGCTAGCTGCTCTTCTGGCTGTTCCTCTGGCTGTTCCTCTGGCTGTTCCTCTGGCTGTTCCTCTGGCTGTTCCTCTGGCTGTTCGTCTTTCCGCTCGTCTTGCTCTTGCTCTTTGGCTCGTGATTATGCTGACAGATGAATTAGTAAAATACGAAGCGGTAATCTGTCGGCTGTCGTGCGTTCCAGACGCGCTCACCTACAAGATGATGCCCGCCTGCACTTCACGGTCTCTCCTTCCCGCCGCAATCAGGGCATATGATTCCTTGACCACGCCATGACCGGCGCATGTGGAACATTTGGACATTTTCGTTTTCGGCACAGGCAGTTGTAAGCAGATGCGAGTCAAGGCGAGTCAAATAGTTCTTAGCAAGGATATCAAAAGGTGAATGCTTCCCGACATGAGAGGTGGAGAAACCTAAAGGCGGGAAATTTGTCAGCTCGCTACCTCAGCAAATTGCTTATTGGCCACAAGGGCAACATGTGATACCCGTATCCTCCACTTAATTTTCTGCCCAGCTGACTGTCTTGCCATTTCGTCCTCCAAAATTGACGAGAACATGTCGGATGAGATCTATCAGCAGCGACAATGTCAGATTTGCTTGGGCTGCTTTCCAACAAACAGGAGCTACGCACCCATATTGAAGGATATCGAGTAAGTTATCTCTAGCCGTTTCACTGGCCGTGCTGATCTTTCTCCAGTCTAAGGAAAGCTTTCTATCAGCCGAGATCGCCAAATGTCGAGCCCACTCAAGTCAGCTCATCGATAGCTACGATACGCCATGTGATGGAAATGATGGCAACGATAATGGGAATGGCGATAACTGCGACGGAGAGGACGATGACGGTGAAGTAGCATATGCAGCGACGAACATCGCATGGTCGCGATCACACTACTGCCCCTACAAAGACTGCAGGCGAAACGAGCCCTTCGACAAAAAGAAAAGACTTCGGCGGCACTTTGCAACACGTAACACTCGTTCCATTTTCTGGATAGGCGGATTGCTAATACTCCAAGCGCAGACGTTCGGTGCGAAGAAGTATGCGTGTATTGCTTCCGAGTTTTCACCAGGGCGAGTCAGTACATTGGGCATGCAAGCAGCCATAGAGATGGGCATGAGGCTAAGATTCGTATACAGCCCAGATCTGCGATGGGCTCCGTAAACGGGTCGATGATGAGCTGCGTCCTTTACTTGCAGGATCTCGGCATCCATCAAAAAGAGGGGAAAATAGGACCAAGAAACGATCTTTGGATGTCGCAAACATGGAATTGAGCCCGACGACTTCGAGGGCTCAAAGGACCAGGACAAGAGCAGAAACTAACAGCGTCGATGAGAAAATTAGGAACTCATTGCCACCAGCTCCTTTCCATGACCTCATAGGTATGGAACTCTTTCCGGAATTTTCTCGCCAGCGTTCTAACGTCCAACAAGGCACGGGCCGTGGCCACGTCCTCAACTCCATGCAATCAGTCACCACTCTTAGGCCATCGGCTAGCTGTGATGAGGCCATGGCTATCGGTGGCGACTTTGCAAATATTCCAGTGCCGACCTTGTACCGGACTTCGCAACTTCTGGACCAACCGTATGAAGACTATAGCGCTCCCGTCTTCTGGAACATGACCTTTCCGCCAAACCATACGGCGCAGCAATACCAGGGGGGGTTGGATCAAGTTCATACAGACATCATGACTTCACCTTTGCTTCCAACAGTTGATCGGTCTCGAAGTATGCAAAACAATGGTGTTGAATTCCAGGAATCACAGGATGAAGCTGCAGGGTACCAAGAGCAATAATCTTTTTTCTGTTAAGCCATGTCTTCAGAGTTCACTCCTCATTCCTCAAATGCAAAATTTACGCCGATAGTTGTGCTCTCCATTTCGGCGACCTTTTGCGCCAAGCCCGGTGACTTCGGCAGGATCATTTTAGCCCATGTCGCCAGTTCGTCCCTGGTTGTAAATGCAAACATGGTTGCGGAGCCTTGCTTGATCTCGAAAGACAGTCGAGCGTCGAGAATAACTCTAAACGAACGTCAGAACGTAAATGCCGGGGCGGCGGCGGCGGATAAACTCACAAGCCGCCATTCGAAAATTCAGTCTCTTTGCCTTCACAGCCCACTCTCCTCAAGGCAGCAGATGGTATTTCGAACAAGTCGTTTGCTGCTCGAACGGTAGGTAACGAATGCAAATGTGAACCGCTGTAGAATGCCGCTCGAGATCCCTTGCTCCACACCTGAACAAGCAGGACGCGCAAACCAGCCTTTGCGCCACCCCTCCTAAAGGAGAATATGTGACCTGGATCTCTTCTGTATCGTAGATAGAGTCCTAGGCCGGACCATTCAAAGAAAGCCTCAAGGATTGATCGAATGCGCTTATCCGAGTTAGGTAAATATCACCAGGATGTCTCGCCATTACTGACCAAGTCGTCAAGGACTTTGAGCTTGCAAAGTCCAGGCCGTACTCCGACGACAGGGCAAAGTCTTCCTGCGCCATGGCCATTTTATGTTCCTGCTGTTCCGGGTCCAACAAGTGGTAGAAGCCATCTTCAAGAAGGAATCTCCTTGCGTCCTCAATAGAGAATGTCGTTGACGCCATAAGCAGAACTGTGCAGCAGAGGTTGATGGACAGAAAGGTCCATCGGTGCCTGAAGGTGACGGTTGTGCAACAATCGGGCTGGCGCCTAAGGCCGGGAAAATATTTTCCGGCTATCAACTCTGGTGAATATTGAAGGGCGGGCGGAGGCCGTCATCATGGTGGGGCAGGGCGCCCTTCACCCGACGCCCACGAAAGGTCGAGTCAAGCTTAGGAGCAAGGTCCGAAACACCGCACGACAGCTTGAAGACCCGGCGAATAGGAAAGTGAAAAGCGCCAGAAGCACGACGCGAGCGACACTGGACGAGGCTGCGGCTAACAGCACGACCGAGCCGCGAAAGGTCAGCAGCAGCGGCACTGGACAGCTGCAAATCATCCAAGAACTAAACCGACAAGTGAAGGAGACAGGCGATGAACTGAAGCACATGCGCGACAAGCTTAATGTGATCGCGAGTAGCCGATCCTCGCGAGCCACCAGACCGGTCCACGAATGTCATACGCAGATGTGGCCACACATCACCCCCGAGCCAGGCGACAAACGTCCGCACCTTTCGTTGATTCGCACAGCACCAAGCGCCTCCACTGAGACCTTGTACTGTACTTTGATACGTCCAGAGTCGAATATAAGGACAGAAGCAAGGCGGAAGTCGGAGAGATCCGACAGGCCATCGAAAAGAATATGCGCTTAAGGAGGGACAGTATAGCTGGCGATGTGCAGCCCTTTCTAGGCAATCGTACACCCACGACGACACCCTGTGCGGTCCCAACTATCATCCCTGCCGAGTTGACCTCGATCTCGGCATAGCGAGGATTGATCTTCCTCAGCCAAACAAGCGCACCTCAACAACTCGCCGCCTCACGGACAGGAGACCCGATAAATCACTTGAAGTTGACTTTCCACCCCTGCCACGACACGTGCAAGAGCGGTGCAGCAGCACTTTCGTCACCAGCTGCTGCACATTGTTTGGGGACACCATGACGTGACCTTGACGTGGTTTGGCTACCACGGCCTGCCGCTACTCGCCCGGGATTATACGCCGTGTGGCAAATCCGTAGCACGAGTTTACCGCGATCAACTTCTACCAGCGCAACGCCCTTGAGCTCGTCCGGGAACAAGTGCTCATAGCCAAGGTGGCTATGAAGTTGAGGCCGCCGACAACAAGCCACCTCGGTTCAAGCATCACGTGCACTCTGCACGGACCGTTACTCACCTGTCCTTAGGGAAGCAATTCTAGCACCCTTAGGATTACAAATTGACAGCCACTGAGCCAATGCTATCTCCTCCACTCTACTCTTGTCCGCTTGCGGTAGCACAGCATGCTAGTCTGTATTGGCCGTGTTCGCATCGCGGAATCCCTGACAAAAGCCACGTACCGTCGACGCCTTCCTTTGTGCGGCACTATTGTGCACCTTGTCTACCCCAGCTGAACAGGCTCTTCCTCAAGGAAACGCAAGAAGCTAGCTACTGTCCCACAGACCCACGTAAAGTGGGTCCTCACCACCTGTCTGTGTCAACCACCTGGCTGTGTCACTTCACCGCTTCAAGCCTCTATCTTGACCTCAACAACGGCACATTATGAAGAATAAAGAGCTTACGCTTGAAAGGCGCGTAGCCGAGGCTATTAAAGCCATTGAGGCAAATCCCAATATGTCCCTTCGCGCTGCGGCTAAGGAATTTGGGGTTCCACGCGAACGACTCCGCTTGCGATTTCACGGCATCCAACCTCGCAGCGGCCATAAAGCAACGCATACGAGGCTATCGCCAGCTCAAGAGGACTCAATCGATCTGTATATCGATCGTCTTGAGCGTATAGGACTTGCGGTGCGGAAGGACTTATTACGCGATGCAGCAAATCGGGTTCTAAGCTCCACGGTCGGCCCTGATGGTACCCGCAACGAACCCTTCGACTCCCAATGCTTTGTTGGCAAAACTGGATATCCCGTTTTATTAAACGCAAGGGATATCATATTATGAAGCAAAAGGTACTCGATAACCAACGCAAGCTTGCCGAATCAGTCCCGCACGTTACCGAGTACCGGTACTTCAAGAAGCTCCACGAGACGATTGCCTCGTACGGGATTAACCCGGCTGATATCTGGAATATGGACGAGACGGGCTTCCGTATTGGTATTGGCAGGGACCGTTGTCGTCACGAAATCAAGGCGATCGCAATACTTTGGTATTGAGGAAAACAGGAGTCGGCAACAGCCGTTGAAGCGATTTCTGCCGATGGTCGATACATCCCTGCGTTTTTGATCCTATCCGGCAAGGTCCACTCGAACAGTGGTACGCCATCAAGGAGCTAGATGGCGATACCCTTATTGGTGTTACGGAAACGGGATTTACGAACGATCAGCTCAATCTAGCGTGGATTCAACATTTCGATAAGCATGCAAAGAGCAAAGGTGCTTGGAGGCTATTGCTCCTTGACGGCCACGGCTCCACCATATCCTTGACCTTATCGAGTACGCTGAAGCCCATAATATTGTGCTCTTTGCATTGCCTCCGCATCTTACGCATCTCCTTCAACCGCTTGACGTCGTGGTATTTCAGCCGTATAAACATTACCACAGTCGGGCAGTCGATTTTGCTATTCGCAGTGGTGCGAGTAAAATCACCAAGCTGGAGTTCCTCGCTATGATCCAATCAATCCGCGTCAAAGCCTTCAAGGAGTCTACAATCCTCTCGGCATTCAAAAACAGGAATCCACCCATTCAATCCAAAGCCAATCCTCGAGAGACTCAAAGAGAGGGTACGGGACCAGACGCCGCCGACAGAGCTACCTGCAGAGCCGTATTCATCCCCTTTGGTACCCCATACCGTACGGAAGTTTGAATCAGTTGGCCAACGTCTCCTTGAGTTTGACCCAATTGATGATATTGAGAAGGAGGTCTTCGTACATAACCTTCAACGCTACGTTAAAGGTGCAATCTCCCAAGGCCACGAGTTAAAGCAAACGATGGTCGATCTGTACAATACCAAGCTTGCCGAGCAGCAACGCCAAGGCCGGAAGAAATACAAGAACCGCCACCTTCAAAGCGGTGGAGTACTGACTGTAGACGAAGGGAGGGCTATTGCGAAGTCAAAGGAAGATATTCGCATTGCAAAAGCAGAAAAGTTGGTACTGGCGAAGCAAAAGAGGGAGAAAAGGGCGATTGAGCTCGAGGAGCGACGGGCAGCCCGGGCGGCTAAGAAAGCCGAAAAAGAAGCCCAACGATCAGCTTTATAAGCTACAAAAGTCAAAAATAGGTAGACTATTGCGGCCAGTATTCAATTATCGTATGCATCAATTTTTAACTTTTTTTGCCGTTTTATTATTAAATTAAGTTGGCGTTGAAGCCGTCAAGTGACACAGCCAGGTGGTTGACACAGACAGGTGGTGAGGACCCACTTTACGTGGGTCTGTGGGACGAGTAGTCCTTCAACTTGCAGCCCCGTCGTCCTCTGCCTCCGAGTCCTGGCTCGGATACGTTTCCTCGGAGTCTGCTCTCGGCCGAAGCGGCGTGCCCTCTTCCTCCGTCCCGCAAGATTTCACCCCTGGTGACAACTTTCTCCAGAAGCAACTTGACGTGATGGCCTTGGCGTCAACCATTCAACTACATGCACTTCTCCCAGTCCATCATCTCCTCTTTGGCTGAATGGGTCGTAGGATAGTCCACCAACATCTTGGAGTGCTACCTTCAACGTTGCTTCCGACGACACTCATTTTCCATGCGACTCGCATGCCCGATGGATTCATTTGGCCTCATCCCGGCACTGCCGCTTCGCCTTGCGGACGGCCGATCCGTACACCCTCGACAACCCTGACAGACAGCTGGCCTCCGTCCGAGGCGGGCGTACGCGCGGCTGTGTTCTTCATCACCTTCGGTTGGAGAAGACGCAAGGGATGCTGACTCGAGTCTTGCAGCCGGAATTATATCCGGGTTATCGGCCTTCCCGCCTGGCGCGTCTGGCCCGCACCGACTGTCTGCTTGACGAATGCATCTCGGCTTGTCTGTGTGCCAATAGAAATGGGCCCCGAATGGCGATGCAACTGTGGCCGCTGTGTCTTGGTTAATTATCATGATCCCCATCTCGCCTCTTTGTGGGCAACATGGGCCGGGCTCACGGAGTCCGCTTTGTACGACCGCGGTCAAGGGAGCATCTTCTTTTCCGATGCAAGAAATGGATGGCGGAACGCGAGATCATGCTGCAATGCGCGAGAACAAAAATCGGAAACCTGTCGTACTTTTGTGAAGGACAAGCAGTGCACGACCCGGGGAATTGGGCGCTAGACGAGAGCAGTGAGAGCAGCGATCAAATTCCCAATCGCGACGGGAAGGCTCGACAGAGAGCAGGGGCAGCAGTCGAGGTGACTATGCAGACTGAGCAACACTAGCATCAAAAAGTTTCACACAGCGACAGACCACGCTTCAGCTGCTGAGGATAGGATGCCGAACACTTGGAGAAAGTGGCGGGCCTATCACTGACATTACGAGGTTAAGGGATGCAGAGCGTAGGAAGCGAGGAAGGGCTTGCGGGCGGTCGAGACAAAAGAGGAAGCGCAATCAGCTAGACGTCTAGGCCCTATTGGGCATAACCTTAGAGCCTCCCGGCGAATTAAAACCATCCATTTCACAGGCTGGGCTCCATCCGAACCGTTCCTCGTAATCACAGGGGCCAAGCATCCGTGGTCCAGCTCGCAGGGGTTAGAAGGGCATGTCCCCCTACCAACAAGTGTCAGGGAACATGAATGCGTGGCCCTGGCCCGGTCTAAACGCCTTCCTGAGACTTCAAATCCTGCGGCAGCTTCTAGTTGAAGCGTCGGGCGAGAAAGTGGCAGCTACGGAGCAGGGTTTATAAATGGCGCATATATGGACACAGCCATACAGTAACAACGCCAGGCCTGATCGATCCTGTACCGGGCTTGCTTGCACCCTGCACACGCTGCAGGTGACATGGCCAACGACATAGCACAGTAGTGAGACTTTAAGACCTGCGACAGATTTCAGGTGAAGTATTATTGGCTTTTCTTCGCATTGTAGGCGCAGAGAGTGTGCAGGCACCTGCGGAGCTGGATTTCTGGTATATATGGCATCGAATGGCGATAAAGTCTTCACCATTTCAAGTCTTCTAAGTCTTCTGCGACTCAACAAAGTCAAGCTACCTGCAATAAGACGATGGCATCACATCTTGTCACCCCATGCTCGATTAGGTGCGGTCACCTCAACGACACTGATCAGAAGAAGTGCAGCCATGAGGAGCCATGCCGACTTGGAGTCCACCCCTTTCAGATCATCACCGAAAATTGCAAGAGGTGTATGCAGGACCCTCACAAAAGACTCCACCACAATTTCCACGACCTCAGAGATAAATCATCTCTTCTCCGTTACTGGTATTGTCGAAAGCTCAGTGAGGAATGAGGATAGATATTTTTGGGGCCGTCCAGGACTCCAGGTTGGGTGTGGGAGGGCATTCCGGTTTTCAGGAGCATCAGCGCCGAAATGGAAATAAGTATGCACGAAGCATGGCAGGAAGAGTCCAGAAGATTTGTCAAATTGGCGAGTTGCGGTGCGAGCGCGGTTTTTATGGATGGTCAAGAACCGTGTTCTGTTGATGAGTTGGACAGCGATAAGGCCCAAGGGTAGAGCACTTTTAGAAAGGGCGATGGAGATGATTCTTGAAGAGATGGAAAAGCCGAAGGAATTGCCCAGTAACTAATTATCTTTTCCCATCTCAGAGATCTATTCTCTGTTCCTTCCCTTCCAGCCTGACAATCCTGCCTTTCTTGACGCTCACGACCAATGGCCCCGATAAGGCCGACCAGGAGAGAGCCAAGTTCTTGGCTCTGCGTGCCAGTTCGAAACCCACCTTGCGGAATTGTCACAGCTGAGAGTCACGCTTCCGGCAGCCGCGCTGTTGCCCACGAATCCCAATGTGGAACGGACCAACGACACCTTTTGCTCGTGTCTTTGACCATCCTTGTTTGGTCCATCTCCACCAGAGAGCTCATGGTGTCGTCACGGCCCCTGGACAAGTTGCCCTCTGTACCGGTCCATGGCGTTCCAACCCCTTGTCACACATAGGATATCAGCCTCCAACAGTCTGACCCCCTATTCGCACAGTCCGTTTCCACATTTCCCCACAGAAACTTCTAGGAGGCATCATCAACGCATCAGTGGCTTCCAGATGATCCGATCAGATGCTTCCATTCACTACCATTCCCTTCCATTCTCATATTCAGGCAGTCTATAAAGATCTCGCCTCTTTCCCACCTTAGATAGCAGAATCAAGAGTCTTCCAGTCCCTGATCTTTATGCCCACTTGCTCATCCTCCGTGCGATAGGTGAAATTCCCGAGATTCAACTATTCGGTATGGGAGGTTTAGTATGACGACTAACCAAGCTAGCGCTTTATTGATCTTTTCTTCGTCAAGGTAGCCTTTGAAGACCTGGGACTCAATCTCTGTCGCACGGCCCAGATCCCGCGCTTGCCCATAGAGTTGATCAAACCCTTCGATGATGGACGATTGAAGAGGAGATAAATTCTCTACGACATTGATGTCGTGCTTGCCCTCAAGGTGTTTTCGAAAATTGGTGGTAACCGAAGTGCTGTAGGATCCTCCTGGGGACAATGAAGACAATACATGAGGCGGTTCCTGCCTTTGAACTCCGCTTCCCTTTTCACTGCCGGACGAGCATGTTTCCATGTTCCAAAGGCGGTTTTCCTCTTGTATTGCGAGATGTAGACGTGGAAGAATCTGAAATAATGGATTCAGAATCGAAGAAGGATAACACAGACTCAGAATCCATCGTCGCGAGGTGATAATATGGTGTGGGTTGGTGGGAAGATGATTTCGTGGATGTGGGGATTTTTGCGGGTTCAAGCCCCTGGAATAAGGTACAGCAAACATGGGCTTACAACGATTACGGTGAACAAGGACTCTTGTAAATAACCCCTGTGGGAACCCTGTTAGTGGCGTGGTTTAGCCAATAATATGGAAATACATGGATCCATATCCATACCTTTCCATGCCATTCATGGAAGGCCCCTTTCCGCTCCTGTGCCCGATTTTTAGTCTCCTGTGCACCTTACCGTATTAGGTAGAAGCATCGCGAATCGGCCAAGACTTGCATTTGTGTGCAACACACCAATTAGAAGGTAGTCACGGATTGTAGTCTTTGCGTTGAACATTGTGAATTTGAAGCTATTCGCACATTTCCTCCATATCTTCTAGCCGCATTACAAGCTCATACGGCTGCCGCATTGCGTGGCCTCTTTTCCACCGTGGCGAGCGTCCCCCCTTTCCTCTAACTGTAGCGTTACTTAGCTGCGAAGCCGGGACTCCCGGCTTATAGATAAATCATAATCAAATCAAATCAAATTAAATCAAATTAATCCAAATCAAATCAAATCAAATTGCCCCTGCGCTGAATCAAATCAAATCAAATCGCAACACCCAAATTTATTTGGATATCTGATTATTTGGATACGCCCCACAATGGCGACCTGGGCCAATAGTTTTGGGAGCCAGCCCTGCCTGGCCTAGAGTGGTCGCTAATTACGGGCAGTTGCTTTTCCAGGCCGTGTCACCAAGCTTTCTTTTGTGTTTTACCTGACACGTTTGATCGTGAAATATATCTTTGGGTGCATCTGCCATATTACGGGGAGATATTTGTAGCCGATGGCCAAAATGGGACAGCTCTGCACTTGACTGCTGCAATGGCGCATATGGGAGGAGTACCGAACCTCGCGGTCGAGCAAGATACGATACCCGAGGAGCCCACAGCTGCAAGGAAGACAACGGACCTAGATGACTTCATGACCTCAATTAGGAAACTTGGCGCCCAACCTGCGCCCTCACCGTCCTCCATGCGTGACGAGTACGCAGAATGGGTGGGCAGTACCGATCCGGGCGATTGTCTTGTGGACAATCCCATCCAGTACTGGCTTCTCCGCAGACGCCAATATCCACGCCTGTCGCGAATGGCAATCGACCTCTTTTCCATTCCGGCGATGTCTTCAGAGCCGGAGAGAATATTTAGCCTTGCCGGACAGATGGCCGCAGCTCAGAGAGGCCGCCTCAAAGCGGACCTTATCAAAGCGGACCTTAAGGTATAGGAGCGGCTCAATGTATTTTGTCGTGGGAAAAAGTGGGGCTATCCAGATATCCAAATGAGATCCAAATCGATTCAAATCAAATCAAATCAAATCAGATCCATGATTTTGCTATCCAAATCAAATCAAATTGGACCCCGGATTTGATTTGATTTATCTATTTGCAAGTCTGGCCGGGAGCGGCATGAATCCTCCTTCCACTGATGCAAGGGTGCTGGAAAGAGGGGTCGAGGACCCAAGGGTAAAGAGACGAGGGCGCTCGCGATGCCCCCGTTGAGACCCTCCTTGAGGCGGCGGCCGCGGCGGCTCGTGATATTCGAAGGCGGAGGGTAGCCGCCGCATAAGTTGGGTGGCAGACTCTGAGCGCCGGAAAGTCTGCGGCTGCTGGTATGAGGTCGGCTGTGTAGGCTTTTGACGGATCACGATGTCGGCTTGTGGCGTTGACGTTGCTTGTGGTGTTGACACCGGCCACGAAGCTATAGCCGGCCCAATGCCAAGGTAGTTGCCAATAGCCTCAAGCCGCGAAAGCACTGTCTGCAAGACTGGCTGCCGCTGTTGCTGTTGCCCGCGAGGCTGTGGCTGTTGCGAAGCTGGTGGGGTAGCTGCTGCTGCTGCTGCTGACGAGGCCACAGGTGTAGTTACAGCGGCTGTTGCAACGGCTGCAGTCGTGGCCACAGGTGCAAAGGCTATGGATAATGGCTCTGGCTGGTCTGCGGCGCCGGGCAATGACTCGAGGATCGCGAATTCGTCTGTATGGGTCTGTGACGGCAAGATCCTGCCGTAGAAGCCAGTGGTTGTCCCACAAGTTCAAGGGCAAGGGTCTTGTAGCTATAGCTTTGCGGCTAGTCCCCTCCCCTTGGACCTGGAGGTACGAGGCGATAATATGCTTGCAGGGCAGCCCGTATTGGGCAGTGAAGCTAGTCCCACATTCCCCAAGTGGCCGCTCTTGTGGTTTGAGGAGGCCGGCCGAGGCGGCTAGTGCCTGTTTCTGTACAAGCTCGAGAGACCGATATGACGCCTTCTCGACGGCTTCCTCATATAATGGTAGCCGGAACGGGTCGCGAGTCCGTCGTGATTCGCGCTCAACGGTCCGATCATGGTGTTCTCGTGAGGTTGAGGCTTGTAGTTGCAAGGCATGATATAATTCAAGCAGATTCGACTGGCCGTTGCGAAGGAAGGTGCGAGAGCTTGAGTGAAGGGGTTCACAAGGCGAGGTCGTTGTGTGGCCCCAGTTGCGGTAACGGCAGACCCAAGCGCGCGCCCATTGTGTTCGTACAGGCATCCAGACCTCTTCCACATACCTAAGAATAATGTGCTGGTCTGAGAAGGCGCTTTGACGATGTCCCAGCGGCTGTTGAACTCGTCCTCGGTCGGGGCATACATTACGGACCGGAAAGCTGTTGTGAAGGCACAAGGGCCTCTTTTTCCGGCAGTGGCTCCGGCAGCAGCAGAGCGCCGGGGTCTTCATCGCCTTGGGGCTCTTGCGGCGGGTCAAATGGGTCGTCATCGTCATAGTCGCCAAGCCAGCGCTTCTTCGCATTTGTAGTGATGTTCTTCATGATATGCCACGTACAGACCTGTAGCTGCGAGTCCGGGAAGGTAGCCGTCAATGCAGCGCGCGCAGCAGCGTCATAGTCAGTGATGATAATGTGTGGGATAAAGGCATTGCCGTCAGCCTCGCCTCTTAGCCTTGCCTTTGACTGTAACCACTCGCGAAGCTGTATAAAACACCAGGTAAATGCGTTCGTGGCTTCGGAAGGGATTAAACAGAAAGCCACAGGGAAGATAGAGTCCAAGGCAGTGATTCCATTGATCTCTAGCAGCTTGAGGCCATATCTATTCGTGTTGTTCGTTACGTCGGCCATCATGAGGTGTGAATGTTGTGCCCAAAGCCGCAAGGCAGGGTCAAGGCCCACAATCTGGTAGAAGAAGCGATCCTCATCGTCAAGTAGCTCTTTATGGAAGGCACCTTCCTCGAGTCTTTAACCTGCTGGAGTTGATGTGGATGAAGGCGCCTGTATTCTGGGAAGGCACCGGCCCTATTGGCCTCATGGTTGTGCCTTGGGCACATCACAGAGACTCGCCAGAGGTCTCCCTCTAGCTTCAGGCGCACAACCTTGACTCTAAACGGGCAGGAAGTCCGCCTAGTGCCAGTCTTCCGGAGCCCTAACGAGGCTGACTTGTATTCACGGCCGCCGCATGCGCATACGATGTCGTAACGGCGTGGGAGCCCATGTTCGTAGTTGCTTGGCTTGAACTTAACTATGGCGTAGCCTTGGCAGCGCGCATGCCGCTGGAGCTCGTCAAACGCATCGTCAAAGGTCTCAAAGAGTGGCATATTGTTTGGCGGGGCTGAGAAGCATCTTGACGAAAGAACGGTTTGATTAGCTGCTTTGTGGCGGTTGTGTGCCTCTGGAAACTTAGCTGCGCAGACGCGATGTGGTATTGCGAGGTGGGTGGTTATCACGAGTTATTTTGGCTTGTGGTGTTGTATCAGGAGGCACTGCTTGCCGCGACGCCAATTGTGTGTATTATGGTGTGTTACGCGTCTACGTGTGAGTCTTGCTAAGTACGGTAAGGTGCACAGGAGACTAAAAATCGGGCACAGGGAGCGGAAAGGGGCCTTCATGGAAAGGGTATTTCCATATTTAGATATGGAAAACCACCTGTCCGTGTCCCAAACCTCAGTATTGTGGATCGGGAGACGATAGAACTTTGCAGTTGCTTCTATGAAAGGGATGCCACAAATTCAACCCCGACTTCAGCCTAGTCCTTTCCTCCAACGATCTACGGGGCGGCAACAACGGAATATACCCCGTCGAATCCAGGTACCCAAGGCTTGCGAGCGTTGCCGCAAGAAACGAATCAAGGTAGTACAAAAATTGGACTCTTCAACTTCTTTGCCTTTACTCCAATTCAAAGTTTCCCAGCGGAATGATAGTACTGAAACTGGGATTGATAGTGTGATGGACGAAACCCTTGCTGGCGATGTCGGGACGCTGATAGCGAATGCCTCTACGACGACTCGCAGCGCAAATTAAAGCGCGAGTTACGGGCCGAAATCGAGCGGTTAAACGAAAGCAACATGAGAAAGGACAAACTGCTCGAAACCCTCTCTTTCAGCCATGATGAAACGTGCAGAGCGGTTATTCAACGACTGAGGATGCCAACAAATCGCGTCAGGACGTCTTGAAGGCATTGGAGAAGAAGAAAAACAATGCCGGTCCGTCTCAAGACGCCTTCCACGAATAGCATATCCAGTTGAGCCCATTAATACGGCCATGGGGAAGTCATCTGTGCGGGTTGCCTTACTCATCTGCCCTCTTCGATGGTACGCCGCTCTTTGTTTGGCTATCCCAGCGTATTGGTGGAAGCCAATGAAACTCTTTCGATACGGGTTTTGCCGACTGTCGCTTCTTTATCGCCACTCCCCATAGTTGGAGATGCTGTTCAGTCACAAACTGATACGTGGACACAAGCAAACCTGACAAAAGCTTTTGTACGACAGCTCTTCGACGCTTTGCTTACTTGGGATTACTGTGAGGGAACGATCATGTGACTTTCATTAAGCAAAGCTGTAAATTTGTGCTACGAAGTGACGAAGTACACGCAGTGCGCAGATTCAGCTGTGCTTCTTTACTGAGGAAAAAGTGCGTTCCACTGTTTTGCTAGCCCAGCGTTTTGATTGGCCCTACTCACAATTTGCAGAACCATCATTGGTCAGATTTACCCAGAGTTTATCCGTGGGCAACGTTATGATTGGTCAGAGCTCATGTATACTGTACGCAGTAAATTTATTCACACCGTAATGAGTGCTCCTGATTGGCCCAAAAAGTTTACCCGTGCCTTTGCCGTGGAGAGGGCACCTTTTGCCGCAACAGACGTCACACAGCGCGCGCCTTATATTAATGCATTGTTGCATCTGGAGCTTGAGCTGTAGAAATGCCTGCTGTTGGCAAATATGATGCTAAGAATCACGCCGCAAGAATCGCGTGGCATGCAGCGCCGCAGGCGAAAAGCCCGCTGCAGGCGAAAATGCCGGCCGCAGGCGTAGCCCCCTGCAGGGGCCCCCCCCGCGCAGGGGGAAAGTCCCAATTTACTCTTGAAAATTTCGATTCTTGATGTCCTTTGACATTGAACTTCTTTTCGAATCCTTTGGCATTGTTTCCTTTGACGTTAGTCCTCCTTTCGAAATCTGGTAAATTAATCATCTAGAAAGTTGCCTATATGACATCTATATGCCGTCTCCGTCTCCTCCGAGGGGATCCTCCTCCCACTGGGGGCCTTTCAGATCTACCCAATACCCTTCCCCATCGTCTTTGCATTCAATGCCACCAGTTCAAGCAAGACGATCAATTCATTCATCTGATTGACCCGTCTAGGCGCACTAGAAAATGTCTCCTGTCGTCAGGTTTATAATCGTGGTGTGCGTTTCTCCTTTGCCTCCTTTCCCCAATTTGTCTGCTAATCTTCCTTCACCTAGGCTCAACGCTTAATGGCAGCTACTCGAGGCCTTTCAGCGATCCACAAACGACATGCAAGCGTGGATGTGCAGAGTCCAACGGCGCGTAGGCCTACAGCTACACAGACACCTTCAGCTCTGCCTGCTCTGCCTGTTCTGCAGCCTCGTCCTGCCCCGCCTCCGCTACGCCTACCTCCACTACAGCCTCGCACTCGGACCCCTAGGAGGTTCTTTCGTCGGGGCATTCGGCCAGAGGATAGTCCAGGCCATGCAAGGGCACACGCCCGCCAAGTTGCCATCAGTCGACATCATCGTATAGAGAGACGGCAAGGCCATGAGCCATCCGCAACGCAACGCACCTCCCAGTTGCTTTCTATGCAGCCGGCCCCTTCGTCTCCCGTCCCTTCATTTCTTGCGCTCTCCATTCCGCGGTCAGCAACACATTCTCATCTCTCTTATCCGCAGTCAAGCAGCCCTTCTAACGTGTCGTCTCCAGCCTCTTCTGCTTTTGCAGCAGGCGATTTGAATCTGTCCCTGGTTCCTCGCATTGGCCTTTCTGTCCCTGCAAGCCTACAATCTATCCAAGGCAACGAGGCCGATGAAGACGTTCCTCCTTTGGACATCGTTGGGCCCTTGCCGGCGATCTCAACGCACAGGCCATTTCTCAGAGTGATCAGGACCTCCTTAATCTGTGGAACGACAGGCTTGAATCTGAGTCTCTTGAGTATTGCAGTCGATGCAAGGAGTCCTGGTTCAACCTGGTCCTTGTGAATGATGTCTGTTCTGCCTGCCGTCGTCGTGACGCCGATGGGAAAAGGCAGCCTCACGAACCTTTCCTCTTCTCCCAGGAAAATAACCTGGATCTCGGCAGCGTTCCCAACGAGCTCCCAGAACTATCCCAAGTCGAGGAGATGCTCATTGCGCGGGTGCATGTCCACATCCAGGTTTTCCAGTACCGTGGCCAGCAGTATAAGTATCGTGGTCATGTCATTAACTTCTTACGGGATATTGGCCACGTCTATACGCAGCTTCCTCTTCTGCCGCGCGAATTGGACATCATCATACTACGCCCACGGATTCAACGAACCAGCCACACGTCGTCCGGCAGTTTCGACGTCAATTCCGTGTTCGGCAAGGTCACATTCGCGTCTGGCTGGAGCACCTTCAACTTAACCACCCTGGCTATCGAGATATCATTATTGACGCTGAACGCCTAAGTCAGCTACCAAACGACGGTGATGTGGTTGATCAAATGCTTGCCGAGGAAGTCGCTGTGCCTGAGGGCGTGCAAGCAGAGCAACATCCTATAGAGCACCCTGACCCTGAGGCTGTTGAGAATGCTGATGCAGCTGGCATCGACGACTACGATGCAGCAGCAGTCCCAAACTTCATTGCAGCGCAGGCTGACCTTGAGCGTCTCCGGGCTCAGCTTGAGGATCACGAACCCGTACCGCCCGAGCAGATCCCTCTGCGCCAGGCCCACATCGAGATGCCTAATATCCGATCTACGCCTCTCAATGAGTTCAATCGTTCCCAGCCTCTGCTGTCTCTCGCCTTTCCTACCCTTTACCCTACTGGGCAGGCAGACTTTGTGGCACCTCGTCAGAGGACAATTCGGTACGATGAGTATATCGCACACGCCGTGAGATACCATGATGGTCGTTTTGCTAGGCATCCACGCTTTCGATATGTTGCTTTTAACACACTTATGCGGCAACAGGTTAACTCTCACAGTTCCTTCTTTGTGAAGAGGCCTGGCCTGCAGCAGCGAGTTGACATGGATGAATTACGCAATGCCTTTGAGGAAGATACCCCGGAATCTCGCGCACTCCTGAGCTCTATTGTGCGCTTCTCAAGCAGCTTAAAAGGCACACGAGCTTACTGGGGCGGCCAGAGACATCAGCTTGAGGCCCTCGTCCACGGCCTTACCTGTCCTGGTGTCTTCCTCACCTTCTCAGCTGCTGATCTTCACTGGGATAGCCTCCAGAGACACATGCCGTCATATGTTGAATGGCGTGAGGCTGATAGCCGTGGTAAGGGTGCTATTGCGTTCCGGAATCTCCTTGAAAACCCTCATATCGCAGCATATCACTTTCACAGCCGTTTTACTAGCTTCCTTAAGATAGTATCGATGCCAAAGTTCAACATTACCGACTATTGGTTTCGCTACGAATGGCAGGCCCGTGGCAGCACGCATGTGCACGGCCTTTATTGGGTTAGGGATACACCAAAGCCTGATATGTCTACTCTCGAAGGCAAAGCTGAGTTTGCCCGGTTCTGGGCCCCTTATGTCTCTGCCATTAACCCAGAGCCGCTTCGTGTGATGCAGCAAGGCGACGCAAATCCATTGGTACTAGTCCGACCGCCGCCTACTTTCCAGTTCCTCGCTGAGGTTGTTAATCG